ACGAATAACCTTTGTTAGCGAGTAATTGTGTAGGATAGAAATATTTTCCTGCTCATCTGAACACACGCAAATGTTGCAAAACAGAACCAATCCATCACAGAGAGCGTTCACTCACTGCTGACAGTGCATTCAAACAGGGCTGCGTTTCCCAAAAGTATCATAAGAAAGCATTAAAGCTTTTGGTAACGGCAGCCCTGAACAATGCTTATCAGAGGACAGAAGGACAGAGTTATTTCACAATAAACAAACTGAAATTGTAGCCTACATAGTTTGTGCAATAACTTTTTAAACAAAGTTAAGTGCTTATTATTACCCATTTTACTCTTAGTAATTTAATAATTGAATACATTTCATCATTTAAAAGTTTAGTTCAGAAGTATCGTATCGGTATCGACGATACTGCCTTGAAAAATATCGGTATCGTATAGAAAACAAAATAAGTGGTATCGCCCATCCCTAACCAATACATCGCCCAGGCTTGAGCAATCAACCGATGATCAGTATGACACACAAGTCAACTTAATCAAACAGAGTGTCAAACCAAATCCACCACACAGATCAAACTGGAACTTCTTGAGTAGCATAAATAAATCACGTGTGTGTGTGTGATGGAGATCATGTGTGTGACGGATATCACGTGTGTGTGATGGAGATCACGTGTGTGACAGAGATCACGTGTGTGTGTGTGTGTGTGTGAGGGGGATCATGTGTGTGAGAGAGAGCATGTGTGTGTGTGTGTGTGTGTGTGAGAGAGATCACATGTTTATGTGTGTGTGACGGAGATCATATGTGATGGTGATCATGTGTGTGTGTGAGAGAGAAATCACATGTGTGAGAGAGATCCCGTGTTTATGTGTGTGTGACGGAGATCACGTGTGTGTGTGACGCAGATCACGTGTGTGTGTGTGTGTGAGAGAGATCATGTGTGTGACAGAGATCACGTGTTTATGTGTGTGAGATGGAGATCACTTGTGTGACAAAGATCATGTGTGTGTGTGTGTGTGTGTGTGACAGATCATTTGTGACAGAAATTACGTATGTGACAGAGATCATGTGTGTGACAGATTATGTGTTTGTTTGTGTGACAGAGATCACGTGTGACAAATAATATGTGACAGAAATCACGTGTGTGAGTGTGTGTGTGTGTGAGACAGACACGTGCAGGAGTTCAGGAGTATGATGGCAGAGCGCTGTGGATGGGTACCGGCAGAGCGTTTCTCGACTGACCGCCGTCTAGACACACGGCCGCTGGAGAAAAGGCCTCCGATGGCATGACGCTGATTGGCGGAGGGGTTTTTTGGTTTCGTACGGGGAAGCCGCTGAGGAGGAACTGCGGGGCTTGTAACAGCATTTTTTGCATTCTAGACAAGGAAGAAAAAAAACAGACATGATTCATGAAAACAACCCAATCCAAGGCTTCGCAAAAACATGTAGCCCAATGAAACGCAGCCAAACACTAACAAAAATACACTGATGGAAAACACTGACCCAAATACATTAGCAAACATTAAAGAGTTAATTCAAAGAAAAATGAATATCCCGTCACCATTGTTCAGAACGTTCTTTGGTGTGACACAAAAGTAGATGTTTGGCAGAAAGTTCACGCTGCTCTCTTTCTGATCAAGCTCCAAAAAGCTCAAATGAGGGCCTCGTAAAAGTAGGTAATATTGGTGCGTTCAATCCTCCTGGGAAGTTCGTATTTTTATAATTAATATGTCAGGTGTGTTCAATTCACTTTGGTCAGAGCAAGATGTTAATGTACCTTTTCTACAAGCTGTACTTTGACCAAATGAATAAAGAATGTGTTTTTTTGCTGTTTTTATTCAGTGGTGCTGTAAAGTGAATCGTTATATACTTGGTTGTAATTGTTCAATACTATTATTTTGAACGCGACTTCGATTTTTGAGTTTAATTGTAAATTTGAAAAATAATGATTTCATTCAATTCAACAAATCCTGAATTACAGGATTAGAGGAAGTTACTCTTTTCCCACTTATAATTACAACATGGTATGTGCGATCAACATCAACAAATACGATCTTTCCAACATGATGTGAATTCAGTATTTTGGGTTACACACAGAAGACAGAAAGCTTGCATAAGGATGCATTAAAGGTAACGCAATAGTTCAGCCAAAATGAAAATGTTCTGAAAATGTGCTCCCCCCCCCTCAGTCCATCCCAGATCAGGATGAGTGTTTCTTCATCAGGTTTGGAGAAATGTAGCATTGCGTCAGTGTCTCAGCAATGGATGCTCTGCAGTGAATGGGTGCCGTCAGAATGAGAGTCCAAACATCTGATAAAAACATCACAATAACCCACTAAAGCCATTTTGGCTTGTAAACGCTGCTTGATCTGTGCAGATTTCTCTCCTGATTCAGACCAGACCACTTTTTCCCTGGAGGAAGAGTTATTATGGATTATAGACTTGAATTTGAGTTAAAAAGGTCTTAATGCTGGATTAGTTTCAGCTTTTGTCTTCTCCAGATGTTAACTGATGGAGTGGTGTGGATTATTGTGATGTTTTTATCAGCTGTTTGGACTCTCATTCTGACGGCACCCATTCACTGCAGAGCATCCATTGCTGAGACACTGATGCAGTGCTACATTTCTCCAAACCTGATGAAGAAACACACTCATCCTGATCTCTGATGAAATGAGGGTGAGCACAGTTTAATTTTGGCTGAACCTTTAATGTAATATCACAAATGAAGGGTGCACTGTTACTCTGCGGTCGTCTCCTCCTTCAGCGCAGCGTCACAGGCTCCAGGTTTGTGCATGATGCTGTAGGGAAACGCGGCTCCGCTGCAGGCGCTGTAGCTCAGTTTGCTCAGGCGGGACTGGCTCCTGATGCTCCCCGGCGGGCGACCAGGACTCACTTTATACCCCGCAGCTTTGGTGGTGCCCGGCGGCCGCCCCGGACTGGTCTTGAAGCCGGCAGCCTTGGTGGTGCCCAGAGGTCTGCCTGTGCTGGTTCTGTATCCGGCTGATTTGGTGGTGCCCGCCGGACGCCCGCGTTTACCAGACCTCCCTGACGCACTCTTCTTCTTGGAGTCCCCACTCTTGTTGTTGCCCTGAGCAACCGCGGGCCCCGGGGACAGCGGCGGCTCCTCGTGGCAGTCCTGCCTCTGGCACGGTGTGGGTTTGAGGACGGCGGCGGCTGGAGGAGGCAGGTAAGCGAAGCACATCTGCCGCGAGCGCTGAGGAAGGAAGGACTGATAGAACTTGGTGGGGCACAAATCAAAGTGGCTCGGCGAGAGTCTCCCGTCCTCGGCTAAACACGACGGCCTGCTGTCGACGCAGTAATCGCTGCTGCTGGACACCTGGCTCATCATCTTCTGCTGACAGACGCCAGGAGAGAGATGCACGTGAGAAAGGGGATAAAGATGACAAAACCCCTTCAGCCTGGTTTTTTTTTTTTACAGTGGGTGTAGAAACGAATCGGCTTCCTTTAAAATAATCACATGTTGTTGCTTTGCAGTCTGAAATGAAGACGGACACAGTTTGTGTTTTATCCAGCTGTATTTACTCATCCAAGTGAACGATACAACACCAACATGTCAGAAAAACAAATAAAAAACAGAATTACTGAGGATCAGCCCCATGTGTCAGTATTCTGTTGAAGCAGCTTTTGCTTTAATTACAGCCTTTAGTCTGTTGGGATTTGTCTCTACTGTCTTCATTTCTTCATTTCAGACTGCAAAGCAACAACATGTGATTATTTTAAAGGAAGCCGATTCGTTTCTATACCCACTGTATCCTTTACACTGATTTATACATCATTTTACTCCTAAAAACATGGTGAAAATGTGTTTGTTTTCTGTCTGTTGACAGTATTTTCTGATTTATGGAGAGATAAAAAGAGAAATTCATAATTCCCTCTAAAAAAAAAAACTTTAGTACGTCAACGAAACAAGAATTATGATCCTGACTTTATCCTATGCTTAGATTTCAGTTGTGTATGCAAATGTGTACATATTTAATTATATAATGTCACATTTGCATATTCAAACTACATTTCAGAAAGCTGTAATACTAAGCGGTTACAGTGATTAATCAGTGGAGAGTATGGTGAGTTCTGTTAGATACATGTGTTACTCTGTTCACCTGCAGTGTCCTGCCTTAGAGTGAATAATCAGAACAGGATGCATCATCATCATCATCATCATCATCATCAAGCTCACAGTCATGGACTGAACTCATTTCATGGGATCTTCAAGTTTTCGGTGTTAAACTCCGCAGCTGGAGCTCTTCATGAAATAGTCTGTGTGTGTGTGTGCGCGTGAGAGAGTGTGTGAGAGAGAGAGAGTGTGAGAGAGTGAGTGAGTGAGTGAGTGAGTGAGTGCGCGAGAGAGTGTGTGAGAGTGAGTGAGTGAGTGAGTGTGTGCGTGAGAGAGTGTGTGCGTGTGAGAGAGAGAGTGTGTGAGAGTGAGTGAGTGAGTGTGTGCGTGAGAGAGTGTGTGCGTGTGTGCGCGTGAGAGAGAGAGTGTGTGAGAGCGAGAGAGTGTGTGAGAGTGAGTGAGTGAGTGTGAGAGCGAGTGAGTGAGTGTGAGAGCGAGTGAAGTGCGCGTGAGTGTGTGAGTGTGTGTGTGAGTGAGTGAGAGTGTGTGAGAGTGTGAGTGTGTGAGTGTGAGTGTGTGTGTGAGTGTGAGTGAGTGTGAGTGTGAGAGAGTGAGTGAGTGTGTGTGTGTGAGTGAGTGTGTGTGTGTGTGAGGTGTGTGTGTGTGTGTGAGAGAGAGAGAGAGTGTGTGTGTGTGTGTGTGTGTGTGTGAGAGAGAGAGAGAGTGTGTGTGTGTGTGAGAGAATGTATGCAGATCCTGTTTCAGAAGCTCTTATAATATTTGATCAAGTCTGATCGTGCATCAGTCAGGGCTTGATCAGCGCATAGCATTAACTGTGACACTAACATTATAAAGGCACACAGCTGTCACTAGTGCACATGACAAAACCCCTTCAGTTCTGTCTCCAACTAATCACAGGCTGACTAAGGAAACAATACGCTTGAAAACACATTACGGTCCATGCACACAGACAGAAACATCATGTTTTCAGAGATGATCAGCGACTGTACCTCGCTTTAATGTCGACGCTGGAGCGGAAAGGGTTAAACGTGACATTTTTGTCCCATTTTGGTGCTACTGATGAATTCTGACCGAAGCTCATCGAATAAAACAAGAGATTGACGTTCACCTCGATGTTCAGAAAACGTGTCAAATCTTCTTTCACAATTTTAGGAGATGCTTTAGAAATCAGCGTCAGCCATTGATATTAAATATTAAGAACTCAAAGGATAACGCGCATGCGCACTGAGTGCTGCGCGCAGCTGCATCGACCGCGTTGGAGAGCCGAGTTCTTCAGACACGATGATCTAAATAACACGTCATTCTTACTTTAACTCTTTCCTCCCAAATCCGTTTAAACGCGTCTGCGTCGTTATTGAGACGCACATCATTGTTCAGACTGATGGAGACGCTGCTGACAGCTGTTACTTTACTCAGCGCACCTCAGGATGGACCAATCACAGCCGTTTGCGGTGCAGCATTCTGACGCGCGCTGAGACGCCTGGGCGGGCTGCCGTTTTGAATGACAGGTGACATCATCAAACTCAGCCAATCACAACGCCTCATGTTTATAGACACACAATAGGTAAATGACAAGAATAACAAAGTAAGTGTTTATGACTAATAAATATAATAGCAGTTAATCAGTAATATCACCGGAAGTCTGGCACATTACATTAAAAATAAGGCCGATATGCAAATATATCGAGTAAAGATTTGAAACGGGAATTTTTATTTTGTGGCCGAACGATTCCTTCAACAATATCTGAAAGCTCTATAGTTGTTTCTTGCTGCAAATCACAACGGGGACAGTAAAAACCGTGTGAAAAAGCTTGAGATGACGCGAGTGATATTACAGATACATACGGATGGAGGAAAAAACACTTTATTTCCAAATGAAGTTCACTGACCAATTACATGGAGCTTTCTAAAATATTAAAGGTGACTGATGCAAACTACAAGAAATCAGAATAAGGTAAAAGCGTCCAGATCAGTGGATCTGGTGTTTGATCAGCTCACATAACAGAAAGCATTGTGGGATTAAGAAAGAAACGCCAGCGGTCGTCTGTCCTCGGTCTTCGGCTACAAAACCTTGTATCTGCTTTTGCTGGTGGGCTGGTACGAGTTTTGCTGAAAGCAGAGAGAAAGCTGGGTCAGTCAGTGAATGTGCAGTGCGAGACTGATCAGCGGTCAAGCGGAGGAGAATCAGGCAGACAGACGGACTCACCAGACGGATCAGCTCCTCTTTGATCAGCCGTGTGATCTCTGCTTTGGCCTTCTGCACAGCCAGCTCGTTGGCACCTGACAACAACAGACTGATTCAGGATCATTCACGCAGACACGGTTCGCTCAGTGACTCAGTGAGGATCCGGCGAGCACACTTACTCTCGATGGCCAGGTAGATCTTGCGCTCTCCCTCTTTGGGCTCTTTGCCCGGTGGGAAATATGTTCCTCGGATAGTGATGGCCGCCTCTGAATACTCGCCGATGCGCTGAAGAGCCTCCTTCGACGTCACCTTCCACCTCGCCGTCTGCAAAACCAAAGACCGATAAACACACGCACGCTGAAAAGCGTCTGCTGAACACATCGACATCAGTGACAAGCTTTCATGAAGTTAAAGGTGCAAACTATCTTGGAAAAGCTACATCTACAACCAAAGACTATAAGCTGTTAGCCGGAAGTATTTACGCTCTTCAGCAGTCAGAGTTCAGCTCTAAAGATGCTGCAATGAAGTCGATTAAACGCCATTCTCTTGTCTATGTCCATGTGTTTATGTGTTTGGCCGTGTGATAAATGTGATTATGTCCAGTCACACATGGCAGGATTCACAACAACCTTCTTCAGAAAGAAGTCCATCACTTTACAGTAAGATCCTATTAGTTAAACATTAGTTGGTGCATTAATAATGAGCAATGCATTTGTTAGCATTATTAGTTCATGTTTCCAGAAGAGATGCATTTAAAAAGAAATCTTAAATGCATAGTTTTTAGTAAGGCCATTCAACTTTGCAAATGCTTGAAGATCCTCAAAATACGCATTTATTTTTCTGATTTCTTACAATTGTGTTTTAAGAGATGGAACCTTTTTTTAATAAATGTGTTTCGTGTTCGGGTCGTTTTGAGCCGTTAGGTGTCAAAAACACTTTTCGTAGAATTGTCTATAAAGTTATATTAGTGTCAAAATAATGTTTTTAAAATATATTCTCCCCATATCTCATACTTTCAGGGCTGAGTTTTGTCGATAAACATGAATATGTTGCCTGTTGACGCATGAAAGAATATGAATGTGAGCGTGCAAGTTTATGCAAGTAAAATTAATTTATTTTGATTGTAAACTTTTCAGAGTAATATTTATGATGTTTAGTTAGAAATATGTACATTTCATAAATTTGTACGGTTTCCGAGCAATCCCGAGTTATAAATTCAATTCATAGGATAATTCTCAGATTATGTTCTTATAAAATGTAATAAAATAAAATATACATGCGCACACACATATACATGTATATATATATATATATATATATATATATATAATCTCTGTCCAAACAGAACCGCAATGCCAAAACACTACACAGATTCTGAATGCTTAAATGCTTAAAATTTATATTTTAATAATGCATTAGTAAATGCTGAAATGAACATGAACTAAGATGAATGCTTGTTCATTGTTAGTTCATGTTGACTAATATTAAAGGAGACATATTATGCCCCTTTTTACAATATGTAATATAAGTCTCTGGTGTCCCCAGAATGTGTCTGTGAAGTTTCAGCTCAAAATACTCCACAAGTCATTTATTATATCATTTTGAAAATGCCTGTTTTGAGTGGAAGCAGAAAC